TTTTCAGATATATCCGCACCTGCATCAACGGTTTGCCATTAAATTAAGTGGACTGTACAGTAGGTGCGGTTCGTTTGCGAAAATGCGTTTTGCGATAACTTGCGAAGCGGTAAAGAAAATACTATAGAATTGAGAAATTAAATGAAATAAATAGAAAAAAAAATCGATTGTTCGCCTTCGACTTTGACCCAAAAGATTGGCGCTTTTCAATAGGGCCAAGAACGACGTTTCTTTGCCCAAAGCATTAACTATCTTTTCATAAGCTTTAAAAATTACTTTAGTGAATACAAGAATCTATCTGTCCAAAGTATTTCACTCTTGACCCAAAATGAATATGCAAAGAAGTTCTTGCTACAAGAACAATAGTCTCTTTGATTCATGCAAAAATTCTTGATTGAAGAGACACTTTTCTTAAACCAATAGCGAATACTATTGACTCAACTAAAATTTATTTTGATCTAAGAAAAATTACAAGGTATATTAATTTTTGATAAATTTAGATTTCCCTGGTCTGAAGTAAGTAAAGTGATATTATTTTCCTCGATAGTAGTTGTTTCTGCTTCTTCACTCCTTGGTATTTTATGGGGTGGTTCATCACTCTACAAATTACAAAAAAAATTACATCACGATTAATCAAAGTAAAGCAAATAAATTATTAAAATTATAAGCTTTGGTCACATTTTGAATTTTTTAATACGACGACTTGAAATTCTAAAATTTTTGTAATTATTTGCATAAAAAAATCGATACCTATATTATTATTCTATCTATATAATCACGCATGCATTATCTAAACAGGTGCAATAGCTAAATGTCTCTTACCTTCAAATATAGCAAATAATGCTCTAATTTCCATTTTTTCAGAAACCCCTTTAAAGAATAATCGAATATATCCTAAAATTTGTCCATAAAAAATGACAAATGCATGTTAATAACGATTATTAATTTGTTATACAATATGCGTTTAAAAAGCAAATTATGCAAAATTCCAAGTGGAAAATTCCAAGCAACAAAACCCATGCGTACTATGATGTGCAACCTATGAAATGCGACGTACGACTGATCGGACTGCCGACTGATTGTATATACCGTCCTTCGTCGTCGTCTTTGCGTGTCGTTATTATTTTTCATCAAAAGAGTATTTAGCTATTGGAAAAATGGCCATGTTTCTTGAATGAAGTACTTCCTAGCGTATTTTTCTTATTATCTTAAAACAAAGTAACTTGCACTTGATTGAATGAAAAT